GGTGTGTTGGGCGCTGTGGGGAGGCCTTTGGGGGGCCCTGGCCCTCCGCGGCCTGCGCTGGGGGAGAAGGGGGCTGGGTGTGTTGGGCGCTGTGGGGAGGCCTTTGGGGGGCCCTGGCCCTCCGCGGCCTGCGCTGGGGGAGAAGGGGGCTGGGTGTGTTGGGCGCTGTGGGGAGGCCTTTGGGGGGCCCTGGCCCTCCGCGGCCTGCGCTGGGGGAGAAGGGGGCTGGGTGTGTTGGGCGCTGTGGGGAGGCCTTTGGGGGGCCCTGGCCCTCCGCGGCCTGCGCTGGGGGAGAAGGGGGCTGGGTGTGTTGGGCGCTGTGGGGAGGCCTTTGGGGGGCCCTGGCCCTCCGCGGCCTGCGCTGGGGGAGAAGGGGGCTGGGTGTGTTGGGCGCTGTGGGGAGGCCTTTGGGGGGCCCTGGCCCTCCGCGGCCTGCGCTGGGGGAGAAGGGGGCTGGGTGTGTTGGGCGCTGTGGGGAGGCCTTTGGGGGGCCCTGGCCCTCCGCGGCCTGCGCTGGGGGAGAAGGGGGCTGGGTGTGTTGGGCGCTGTGGGGAGGCCTTTGGGGGGCCCTGGCCCTCCGCGGCCTGCGCTGGGGGAGAAGGGGGCTGGGTGTGTTGGGCGCTGTGGGGAGGCCTTTGGGGGGCCCTGGCCCTCCGCGGCCTGCGCTGGGGGAGAAGGGGGCTGGGTGTGTTGGGCGCTGTGGGGAGGCCTTTGGGGGGCCCTGGCCCTCCGCGGCCTGCGCTGGGGGAGAAGGGGGCTGGGTGTGTTGGGCGCTGTGGGGAGGCCTTTGGGGGGCCCTGGCCCTCCGCGGCCTGCGCTGGGGGAGAAGGGGGCTGGGTGTGTTGGGCGCTGTGGGGAGGCCTTTGGGGGGCCCTGGCCCTCCGCGGCCTGCGCTGGGGGAGAAGGGGGCTGGGTGTGTTGGGCGCTGTGGGGAGGCCTTTGGGGGGCCCTGGCCCTCCGCGGCCTGCGCTGGGGGAGAAGGGGGCTGGGTGTGTTGGGCGCTGTGGGGAGGCCTTTGGGGGGCCCTGGCCCTCCGCGGCCTGCGCTGGGGGAGAAGGGGGCTGGGTGTGTTGGGCGCTGTGGGGAGGCCTTTGGGGGGCCCTGGCCCTCCGCGGCCTGCGCTGGGGGAGAAGGGGGCTGGGTGTGTTGGGCGCTGTGGGGAGGCCTTTGGGGGGCCCTGGCCCTCCGCGGCCTGCGCTGGGGGAGAAGGGGGCTGGGTGTGTTGGGCGCTGTGGGGAGGCCTTTGGGGGGCCCTGGCCCTCCGCGGCCTGCGCTGGGGGAGAAGGGGGCTGGGTGTGTTGGGCGCTGTGGGGAGGCCTTTGGGGGGCCCTGGCCCTCCGCGGCCTGCGCTGGGGGAGAAGGGGGATGAGGCCCGGGGGAAGCCCCCGAAATGGCCGGTCCCGAAGACCTGACCCGTGGGGGAAGGGTAACCTGGGCGCTTGAGGAGGGAGCTAACGGCTCCTGGGCTTCAGCCACGGAGCAACGGGCTCAGATTCCCCCATTCTAGGGCCAGAAAGCGCCCTGCGAACAGGAACCCGCCCCCCAGTACAACCGGGGCTGGAAACCTGCCCCCCGCTCACTCCTGGCGCAGGGCGGTGACAAGAGCGTCCAGGCTCAGGCCGTTGTTCCAAGGGTTCCGTAGGCTCCTCGTTCGGCACCCAGGCCGTACGGCCACTGTGAATTTGTCCAGCTGCGCGTTCCAGCCCCTGGCCTGTGTTGCGCCTTTCCCCGCTGCACTGGGGAGCCCACGATGAGGTATTTGTGCCCTGGGGTATGTCTAGACTACGCAGCTCCGTTGACGGGAGGTGTGGTGTGCGCACTCTGGGCAGTGTGGTGCGCTCTGGGAGGTGTGGTGCGCTCTGGGAGGTGTGGTGCGCTCTGGGCAGTGTGGTGTGCTCTGGGCAGGGTGGGGTGCGCGCGCTCTGGGCAGTGTGGTGCGCTCTGGGAGGTGTGGTGCGCTCTGGGAGGTGTGGTGCGCTCTGGGCAGTGTGGTGTGCTCTGGGCAGTGTGGTGTGCGCTCTGGGCGGTGTGGTGTGCATGCTCTGGGCGGTGTGGTGTGCATGCTCTGGGCGGTGTGGTGTGCGCTCTGGGCGGTGTGGTGCGCGCGCTGGGG